TGAGCGTCCTTGAGCGAGACCTGGCGCCGCTCCTCGCGGCGCCGCATCCCCCTCCAAATCAAAGCCCCCCCCATGCCTGCGCTCGCCCCCATTCGACCTTCAATCTCGGGGGGCCCGCTGGAGCACCTGGGCTGCTGGCCACGGTTGCAAGCGAAGGTCTGGCCCCACCCGCCGCGATCGGCGGGCCATGAGGCGCCCTGGCTGCATGAACGGAAGACCTCGATGGGCTAGGTGGCTGCCTGGAGGATGAGGCGGGGCCCCGAAGCTAGGCCGGCCTAGCGCGCGTGCGGAGTCGGCCCTGGGACGCACCGAGCCTCCATGTCTGTCCTTCGCTGCGGCCACAATTGGCTCCTCAGCGCGTCGGTCGCCATAAAGTCGCAGACGCCGCCCTTCCACTAGTGGGGTCGTAGGAGCCGGAGGCGTCGCTGTGCCCTCGAACCCTGCGTTCGGCCTGGCCGGGGACCTCGATGACCTCAGTGGAGGCGGCGGCGGCGGGGAAGGAGGCGGGCGCGCGCGCTCGCCCTCGTGATCAGCATCACCTCCCGCCCCAGGCACTGCCAAGGATAGAAGCGCTTTGCGCCTGTCGCGTCCATTTGCTCAGTCGGTCGTCTCCGGACTTGGGCACGCTGGCCTTGGACTCGTCGCGCGTGTCCTGCCAGTGTATCTCCATCGCCTTCCCATACAGGAAATTTAGTTCCAACGCTTGCACATGACGGGAGATCGTCTCGATCTGCAATCTCGCTTTCCTGACTCCATCCTCGGCCTCTGTCAGCTTCAAATTGACAGGCTTCGAGAATCATAACATCACCTCCAGAACCGCGAACTCCTCCTCCTCCTGCAACGCCAATATGGTCCCCGCCGTGCGGACCTGGACCATTCGCTCGGCGATCGTCGTGGCTTTTCCTCCACCATCTAGCGGTAGGTCCTGAATGGCCCTGAACTCGCCCGCCACCTGTGCGGCTGGGACGAAGGACCTGCGAGCCGTCGCGTACTCCGTCGTGGCCATCATGGCCTGCTCGACGCACTTCCGAATTTCAACATCGTGTGCAGCGAGTGCACGTGGGTCGCGACGCAGGTTCCCCTGCTGCTGCTGCTGCTGCGGGTGCTGCTGCTGCTGTTTCCTGTGGGTCTGCCGGCAGCCACGCGCACGGCAAACCCAATATTTGGCTTCGTTGGCATCACTAGAACAGGTACCGTTTCCGCCCAACCGCGTCCACGGACTTGCTGATTCTGCCTCGGCGCCATCGTGCCTGAAGAATGGCGAGATATCAGCAGACCTGCCTCGCCGCGTACGGCCTGAACACCGTGCCTGCTGCGCTCCTCTCGGCGCGCGCTCGCCTGTGCTGGGCGAGCTCTGGCCTCCTGGTCGTCCGCCTCGAGCAGCTCAGCTGCCGCGGTTCCTCCTCCTCCTCCTCCTCCTCCTCCTCCTCCTCCTCCTCCTCCTCCTCCTCTTCCTCTTATTCATCTTCTTATTATTATATGTGTTAGTCTATGGATTCGTATTACTACGATTCTGATACTTTTCAGCATTATCGTTATGCATATTACGAGCAAAATTTTGCTTCATAATAGTATTCGTGTTAGTAGTACTGTATGTATTATTATTGTTATTATTGATAATACGATGTTTACTATTATTATTCGTAGTAGTAGTCGTAGAAGTAGTAGTGGTAGTAGTAGTAGTAGTAGTAGTAGTAGTCGTCGTAGTAGTAGTAGTAGTAGTAGTAGTAGTAGTAGTAGTAGTAGTAGTAGTAGTAGTAGTAGTAGTATAGTAGTAGTAGTAGTAGTAGTAAGTAGTGTAGTAGTAGTAAGTAGTAGTAAGTAGTAGTAGTAGTAGTAGTAGTAGTAGTAGTAGTAAGTAGTAGTAGTAGTAGTAGTAGTAGTAGTAGTAGTAGTAGTAGTAGTAGTAGTAGTAGTAGTAGTAGTAGTAGTAGTAGTAGTAGTAGTAGTAGTAGTAGTAGTAGTAGTAGTAGTAGTAATAGTAGTAGTAGTAGTAGCAGTAGTAGTAGTCGTGTTAGTACTATTATGATGTTGATTATGTTTATGATTATGAGTATGATCTGTTTCATGATGATGATTACTACTCTTGTTACTGCTATGGTTTGTACGATTCGTCCTCTTCTTCTGAACCGTATTCTTCTTATGCTTCTTACTATTATTGCTTGTCCTCCTTCTCTTCCTCCTCCTCCTCTTCCTCCTCGTCCTCCTCCTCCTCCTCCTTCCTCCTCCTCCTCCTCCTCATCCTCCTCCTCCTCCTCCCTCCTCCTCCTCCTCCTCCTCCACCTCCTCCTCCTCCTCCTCCTCCTCCTCCTCCTCCTCCTCCTCCTCCTCCTCCTCCTCCTCCTCCCAGGGGCCGCCGACGCTGCGGAGGACGTGGTGGGTTCCTTCCCCCCAGCGCGGCCCCTGTGGCGGCAGGCGCGCTGCCGTCTCCCGCTGCGGGCCAGTCGAACACGCGCGGGCCAGACAGCCAGCGTGGTGCTCGCGGCTCCTCCGGCTGGCGCGTCTCGGGCAGCAGCTCGGCCTGGCGCTTGCGGGCGCGCCCGTCCGGGGGCGGCAGGGTGGCGTGGTGGTTCCCAGCCTCCGCGCATCGAACGAGGCAGGGGGCGGCTGGGCGCGCACGAGAGGGGGCCCTGGGCTCTGCCAAGGGTCTGCCCCGCCTCCGCTTTCGCCCGCCAGCACGGTCGATCTCTGGCAACCGGTGGCCTCAGCGGGTCCTCCAGAGGAGCCGGGCGGGGCCGAGGCACCATAGTGCCAGAAAGGCCCCTCAAGCTCAGTGTGGTCCTCCACGGGCGTCCCCCCAGGGTTGAATACCGCTGTCTGGCGGGCATGAAGTCCGCCCGGACCCGCACCAGACCCACGACAAGGATAGCCACCATCACGGCGGTTGGGTTCAAGGGCGCTCACCCTTAGCACTAAGGTAACATGAGGTAACTGAGCCACATGGCTGCAGGAAGGCGGTGGAAAGAAAGGGGGTAAACAGATTACTCCACATGTCACGTATACTGTGGCGAACGAAAACATAAACCCAGCAACCTTAATCTGTCGGGTGAGGAGACATCGGCTCAGGAGGAAAATCCGGCCCCGGGGAAGTGGCCGAAGGCCCTGGGGCCGACGCCACGACGAAAACCTGCCACGTCGGCTGCGAGGGCCTCGCAGCGACCATCCGCCGACCAAGACCTCCGATGCCAGGTTCAACGTGGAGTCCCAGGACCTCTAGACCTTAGTTAGAAGTCAAAAAATCCACCCCCACAATAACCACCCCGACACGCGAAATCGTTTAGTAAACGCGCCCAAATAAGGATTCATACAGGGCAGGGCTGTTTAATAAACGCCCAAGGCCGTTTAGTAAACGCCAATTGTCCGGTCTGGGTGGTTTTACCTCTCTTGATTAGTGGGCCCCGGAAACGGCAGGGCCGTTTTTTCACCGTTTCCAGAAAAGTGTCCCTTGAAAGTGGATGCGGCCAAAAAACGGCGACCGGAAACGGCAAAAAAACGGCTCCAGGATGGGAGCCGGAGCCGGAACCGGTCAAAAAACGGCGACGGAACCGGTCAAAAAACGGCGTCGGAACCGGCCAAAAAACGGCAGAACGGAACCGGCAAAAAAACGGCCCTGCTGTCGTTTCCAGGGTCCACTAAGAGAAGGAGGAGGAGGTGGAGGAGGAGGAGGAGGAGGAGGAGGAGGAGGAGGGGGGAGGAGGAGGAGGAGGAGGGAGGAGGAGGAGGAGGAGGAGGAGGAGGAGGAGGACAAGGAAGAGGATCACCTGCCGGGGACCAAACGTTTCGTCTCGCATCACTGTGCGGAGCGGCCCCGCGGCCGGGCGGGGGCCCCCGGTGGCCGCAGGCTTCCAGAGGCTGCCCGTCGTGCCTTCTTCGCGGCGAGGCGAGGCAGAGAAGGAGGAGGAGGAGGAAAGGGAGGAGGAGGAGGAGGAGGAGGAGGAGGAGGAGGAGGAAAGGGAGGCGGGGGAGGAGGAGGAGGAGGAGGAGGAGGAGGAGAAGGAGGAAGGAGGAGAGGGAGGAGAGGAGGAGGAGGAGAGGGAAGAGGAGGAGGGAGGAGGGAGGAGGAGGAGGGAAGAGGAAGGAGGGAGGAGGAGGAAGGAGGAGGAGGAGGAGGAGGAGGAGGAGGAGGAGGAGGAGGAGGAGGAGGGGGGAGATCGGCGCCCGGCGGGGGCGATCGTCTGATGGGAGGATCGCGGATGCAGTAGGCACATACGATCAGAAATCCTGCTGCAAGAAATCTTGGGGCATATTATCCGTCGACATCTGAGGGCCCCACTGTGCCCCAGGACCTTTTGCGGGTCCCTGGGGCCATCGGGGGATAAGAAATCCCCGTGGGGGCACTTGCTGACAGGCCGATGTGTAAATTTGACGTGCCTGCTCTAAACCATCAGGGACACGCAGACCCGAACAAGCTAGACCAGGACATCCAACATCCCTCAGAACAATTCATCCCAAACGGCGGCACGAAACAAAAAATATACACTGCAACACTTCCGGAATAAACCTGGACATAGACCCTAAGAACATGCAAAACACAAACCCTAGACCGGGACAAAGACCCGAATCCTGCAGAGCAGCAACAAAACCCTGCACTGGACGACCAACTCTGACTCTGAAGGACAGGGTGCCGTTTCCCCGACTTGCCAATCTCCTGGTTGGTCTGTGTCATGGTCTTGAGCAGGGACCGACCGTCCCGGCATTTCTATAGGCCTGTACCACTAAATGTTCTTAGAATCCAGAAATGCTCCAAGAACGCAAACAGTGTTCTTAGAACATAATCCCGATGCGTTCAAACAAGACAGTCCCAGCTAGACATGGTCTGAGAACACTTCGTGGAAGCCACACAAAGGTTCTGAGCACGCTGCTTGGTAGGCCGATAGGCGCGCCAGGACGCTCCGCCACTGCTTGATGAGCCATGGTCTCCGGGGGCCTGAAGCCCTCACCCGAGATCGGCGCTGGGCGTGAGCGACGGGAGCCCCCCCCCGCGCCCGCGAGGGCCGCGCCCGCTCGGTCCGCAGCTGCGCCGCCAGGGCCTTGGCGTCCGCGCCCTCGCTGGCGCCCTCCGCGGCGCCGCGCGTGCGCAGGGAGGCCTCCCAGTCGCGCAGCGTGCTGCGCAGCCACAGCACCACCTGACCGGCTTCGGAGGCGCCCACTCCTCCTCCTCCTCCTCCTCCTCCTCCTCCTCCTCCTCCTCCTGCTCCACCTCCTGCTCCTCCTCCTCCTCCTCCTCCTCCTCCACCTCCTTCTCCTCCTCCTCCTTCTCCTCCTCCTCCTCCACCTCCTCCCTCCTCCGCCTCCTCCTCCTGCTGCTCAACCTCCTCCTCCTCCTCCTCATGCTGCTCCACCTCCTTCTCCTCCCTCTTCCCCTCCTCCTCCTCCTCCTCCTCCTCCTCCTCCTCCTCCTCCTCCTCCTCCTCCTCCTCCTCCTCCTCCTCCTCCTCCTCCTCCTCATCATCATCATCATCATCATCATCATCATCATCATCATCATCATCATCATCATCATCATCATCATCATCATCATCATCATCATCATCATCATCATCATCCTTCTTATCATATTCATGACCAACACCGGCACGAAACATGTCACATGATGCAGCCATCCCGTGCCTCGGGACACAAAGATGTCATGAGTTAAGGCTTCCTGTCAATCGCCATCCTGAGATCCCGGCGTTGTAATATTTTCGCACTTGGCATTCTCGCCTGGTTCCTGGCGCTGGGCCCCCCACGGATCGGCCCGAGTCGGTAAATGCTGCAGAAAATGTGGGTCTAGGGCTCCAGTCGAGATTTCTCACGATCTTGCAAATATTTCGCGTCGTCGTCTCAGGGAAGCCCCGAGGGCCGAAAAGCTCCGATCCTCAAACCCCCGTCCTCGGCCACCGCGCCGGGACCTCGCACGTGGCGCCGCCGACCGCCTCGGCCGGGTCCAGCTGCCGCCGACGACGGCGGCGACGGCGACGGCGCTGGCGACGGCGACGGCGGCGACGGTGCTCGACTGCGGCAGAAACAGCGACGGCGACGGCAGCGGCGACCGCCGCGCGCGCGCGAGAATGCGCACGCTGCACCTCGCGCGTGGCGCCGTCGGCCGCCTCCTCGGCCTCGTCGCCGCTGTCCGCGCCCATCGGGTCGTCGCCGTCCAGCGGCGCGCCCGCGGCCTCTCCGTGAGTGAGGGCGCCGTCGTTCGTCGCCGCAGCCGCCGCTGGCGCTGCCGTCGGCGTCGGGGCCGGCGGTCGGCGAATCGTCGCCGTCGTCGTCGTCGTCGACGTCGTCGCGATCACCGTTGCCGCCGCTGCTGTCGCCGCTGGCGCAGGCGCCAGCGCCGCTGGTCGGCCTCGGCGGTCGCTGTCAGCGGTCGACGATCAGTGTCGTCGCCGTCGTCGTGTCGCGATCGCCGTTGCCGTCGCCGCCGTCGCCAGCGTCGGCGGTCGGCGTCGGCGGTCGGCGGTCGGCGTCGGAGGTCGCCGTCGTCGCCGTCGTTCTTGTCGTCGTTCTTGTCGTCGTTCTTGTCGTCGTCGTCGTCGTCGTCGTCGTCGTCGTCATCGTCGTCGTCGTCGTCGTCGTCGTCGTCGTCGTCGTCGTCGTCGTCGTCGTGGGCGTCCTCCGCGAGCGCCTGCATGGAGCGCGGCTGCACGCCCGCGGCGCCGTGGGCGACCTCCCCGCGGCGGCCGGCCGGTGCTTTGCGCGGGCCCCCCAGCAATGCGAGCGGCGCGCCCCACGTGCACCGCCGCCGCTGCCATCGTAGCCCTCGCCGCGCCGTCGTCGTCATCCTCGTTCGCGTCCTCGCGTTCGTTGCCGTCGTCGCCGTCGCCGCCGTCGCCACCGACGCCGACGCCGTCGTCGCTTTCGCCGTAGTCCACGCCCCCCCCACTCAAGGCCGTGCGTCCGGCGCACCCAAATTGCGCCGCTTGCATGCCTACGGGGCAAGAAGGACCTCCCCAGATCTCGAGGACCAAATCCGCCGATCCGGCGTGTGAGTTCTTGAGCTTCAGCTCTGCTGGGAGGTGGGTGCCGGGGTGGCTCTGCTGGGGTATAGGGGGGGGGGGCGGGTCCGAGTCAAGTTTGGTGGCAAAATCGGAGCTCCAGCTCACTCCGGGTCGGCCCCTCGCCCCAAAGAGCTCGAACGCGGGCTCATAAAAAACCAGCGGCCGCCCAGACGGCCCAAGAGGGCCCTGAGTGGCCGAAACATCGCTCCAAGACGCTCAATATGTTCCTCAGACGGCTCCAGAAGCCTCCAACGTACCCTCCCGACACCTCCTAAGAGTGCCCAAAGACGGAAAAGATGTCCCATTCCCTAAGGAAAACATTTTTTGTTGCATTTTCGCTGCTTCGGCCTTCGCAGTGTCCAACACGGCCGAAGAGACCCCCAAAACAAGCCCAGAGGCTCTCAAGAGGGCCCCAAGTCGGCCCAAGAAGGGCCCAAGACGGCCCGGGAGGCCCCCAAGACAGCCCAAGCGGGCCCCAGGACGGGCCCAAGAAGCGCCCAAGAGGGCCCCATGACGCCCCCAGAAGGGCCCAAGACGGCCCAAGAGGCGCCCAGGAGGTACCAAAATGGCCCTAGGAGTCCCCAAGAAACCCCGAGAGGCCCCAAGTGGCCCTCAAGAGGCCCCCCAAAGGCGCCACAAAGCGCTCCCGAAGGCTAAAAAAATACCTCCCTACACACCCCCAGGAGGCCTCCAGGATGCCTCTTGCATGCCCCCCAAGAAGCCCAAAAGGCCCCCAAGAGGCTCAACAATCACCTACCTCCAAGACGCCCCCCAGGAGGCCTCGAAGATGCGTCGTAGAGGCCCCTCAAGAAGACCACGCACTGCCTCCAAGCTATTCCCAAACCACTTACATTTGAACAAGCGCGCTGGGGCGAAACCGTCCTTCTGACAGCGGGTTCGTCCCAGATCGGCGGCACCGGCCGGAGGCCTCTACAATATATCCTGGCGAAGGACCCAACCATCTGCACGTGTGAGTATCGTCTTCGGTGGAGCTCCCTCTGGGGCCACGAAATGTGCGAGGGGTGTGCAAAAACGGGCGCGGCGGTGCCATGCAGGCGCTGCCACCGGGGCCTGCGGTGGAGCTCCTTATGGGTCGCGAAATGTGTGAAGGGTGTACCGAAATGGGCGCTTCTCATTTCGGCACACCCTCACTCGTTTCGTGGCCACATACGGGGCCACAGCTAAGTGGGTCCATCGCCATGATGATTCTGCGACCTGTGTGAGCGCACCTGGAGGCACAAGTTGTCCGCCCCACGGGGCGCACAATCTAGAATTCCCTGCCATCCTGGAGTGTTGGGCCCTCGTTTTGACAAGACAGCACCCCGCGTCCCACCTCCTCCTCCTCCTCCTCCTCCTCCTCCTCCTCCTCCTCCTCCTCCTCCTCCTCCTCCCCCTTCTCCCGCTGCCATCCTCCCTCCTCATATCCGTGCCTCTGCCCTCCGCCTGTCAATCAGTTCGGCACACCCTTCGCGCGTTTCGTGACCCCGTAATGAGATCCACCGACGGCCCCAGTGGCCGCGTTCGCCCGCGCCCGCGCCACCCAGCATAGCGCTGCGTCCGCGCCACGCAGTACAGCGCTTCGTGGCCCCATAGGAAGCTCCGCCGAAGCACAACGCTTCGTGGCCCCCTGGGAAGCTCCACCGAAGGCACAAGTGGCCGCGTTCGCACGGGCCCACGGCACCAAGCGCAACGGCGCTTCGCGGCACCATAGGGAGCTCAAACGACGTCCCCAGTGACCGCAGCCGCACGCGCCTCCCCGCCCAGCACAGCGCTTCGTGGCCCCAACAGGGAGCACCACCAAAGGCCCCAATGGCCGCGGCCGCATGCGATTTTTCCGCACCCAGTGCAGCGCTCCGCGGCCCCCTAGGGAGCTGCACCGAAAGTCCCAGTGACCGCAGCCGCATGCGTCTCCCCTGGTCAGTACAGCGCTTCGTGGCCCTACAAGGAGCTCCATCGAAGGTCCCAGTAGCCGCGGCCGCATGCGTCTCCTACAACCCCGTGCGAAAAGCAACTGGGGTTTGGTGAGCCCCCCGGCCCCCGAATTTCAATGTTCGTCGTGCGACCAGCGAAGTTCGAAAAAAAAATCGACCCCGCGTTGAACATTGAAATTGGGAGGTGGGGGGGGGGGGAGGTGTGCGCGAAAACCCCAGTTGCTTTTCGCACGGGGTTGTAGTACACCGCTTCGTGGCCCCATAGGAAGCTCCGCCGAAGGCCCCAATGGCCGCGGCCACATGCGCCCACCCCCGGCCCAGCATCGCGCTCCGTGGCCCCGTAGGGGTGCTCCACCGAAGGCCCAAGTCGCCGCGGCCGCATGCGTCTCCCCCACGAAGTACACCACATCTCTCACGCGATGTGTGGCCCCATGGGGAAGACCACCGAACGCGGCGCCCACAACGCAGCACTCGCAACCGCAAATGGTTGGGTCCTTCGCCATGGGTATGTTTTCTGCTGCCTCGGCGAGCGCCCCGGGGGGGCACGATCTGCGTGCCCCTCGGAGTAGGAGGAGGAGGAGGAGGAGGAGGGAGGAGGAGGAGGAGGAGGAGGAGGAGGAGGAGGAGGAGGAGGAGGAAGGAGGAGGAGGAGGAGGAGGAGGAGGAGGAGGAGGGGGAGCGTCCGCTGATTGTTTCCCTCGACTTGACGTTTTTACTGCTGCGACGTCAGCGGGTGCGCAGGGCGGGGCGCGAGTCGCCGCCCCCGTGGGCGCAAGATCTCTACAATGTTTTTTTCCCAAACATCCTGCGGCGTCGGGCACTCGTTTTGGATCCGCAGCGCCCCGCGTCGTTCCCAACCCTCCTTCCGCCTCCTCCCTCTCCCCTCCTCCCCCTACTCTCTCCATCCCCGTCCTCGCCTTGAATGTCGGCGCGCCTCTCGCGCGTGGCGCGGCCCCTTAGGGAGCCCCAACTCATGCGCCAAATGCCGCAGTTCACGGGAGCTCCTGCGTTCCACCGCTGTTCGCCCGCAAGGGCTCACGCACCTAGTCACTAGTCAAGGTTGCCTGGCCACAGCGGCCATTCGAATCGTTGTGTATTGGTGGTGGTTGTCCACAATAAGTGGTAACTGGTCAAGCCCAAGACTGATCCGTCCAAGTTCAGCTGCGACTCCATGGTTGATGATAGCAACAGTTGCTATGTGGAGATCGCTGTTGTTCACATGGTTGCTTAAGCTAGCGTTTACCGGCTCGTACCGTTGGGTGCTATCAGATAGAGCCTGAATGTGCCCCCCGCATTCAAAGGAGCAGAAATTCTTGCATGCTAATTACGTCGCTGTTCACGGAAAGCTGTCCACCCCCGCTGCCCCTTCGATCTGGGACAAAGGTGATCGTTGATAGCATCTCTTGTAATAGGGGTATGAATTCAGTCTCCACGCTTCATCAGTACCCAGGAAACGGCAGCGTGCTCCACTTGTTAACTCGATGTTGTTCTGTTCCAGCTGCTGAACGCGTCCTTCAAGCGTTTGCATCATTAGCGATGGGTTGCTCCGTCGGTCTCTGTAGTTGCTGCTGCAGCAAATGTCCAAGTACACTTAGGCGCTCGTTCAGGTGTGTCATGCTCGTGGGTCTGGTTATCGGGCCCGTGCGCTCGCAGCGGCAGCGACTATGTTCCGGATGACATCACGAACCTGTGGGTCCACACTCTGAGCGTTCTGCGCTTGTGAGGCACTTGCGAACTCCGCGAAGGATGATCGCGACCTGTTGGGACGGCCTCTTGTTGTTGTTCGAACGTTGTACTTTGCTCCTGTAACGCCTCCTGTTGCGCGTTGGCTATTTGCTGGCCCTGTGTTTGGAGCGTTCTGGCAGCCGACATCGATCTTGCCTTTTCAACGGCGGCTGTGCTGGGCAATCCTGGCAGCCCCGCTCGTGGTTCCGCGAGTTCCTGTTCCACAACACGAAGAGGTGGGACTTGTCGACTTGGTCGGAAGGTAAGGGGGCCATTCGCTCTGCCGCTTCGGCAGCTGAAGCCTCAGTCCCGTGCTTCCGCGCGAGATTGAAGGGGCCCTGGGACACACAAATAAATACACACAAATAAAATAAACCCCAATATTTTCCTTATATTTTCTGGATTTTTGTCTTCCCGCCCAATCCCATATTTTCCCATATTTTCTGGGGAATCGACGATTAATTGTGTCTGTGTTTTTTTTTCCCTCCTGAGAGATAAAGTGCAAACATCCTTTCGCCCGATCCCATTCGGGATCTTGCCGTACCAGCGGCGGGTTGCCCCATCGCGCTAGCGGCGGGTTGTGTTGGCACTTACCAGACGATACGGTCTACCGGTGCGGCTTGCTCGTGTTCAATGTGTCGCTGCCTAGCAGATTGATTAGATCTCTCCGTGTCGGAAGACGTACCGGAGATGATGGCTTCGAGGCCAGCGTCCAGCTCGCCTGGGTTGGTCATCTTATTTCCAGCGCGCCGCAATGCTTCGTCTGATAAGCTGAGTAATCATAGGGTTGGAATGGCGCTGAGCCCAGACGCGTACCCTTTTTTAGTTGACGGCCTCGCCTCTGAAGGCGGACGAGTTCCGCATTTAGGACAAGTACTTATACATTTCTACGTATGCAATCGCAGGCGCAGCAAGAGAGGGAGGAGGAGGGACGACAACGGCAACGCGCGCGCGCCCTTTGTCCCTCCCCGCTGTGCGAGCAAGATGCTCCAGCGAACTCATCTCCTCGCGATCTTTAGGATTAAGTTGGGCGTGTCCCCCAACAGGGGGATTTTCGACGAAAAATAAAATACCCCAAACATACTCCAAACTGGTAAAATGTCCCCTATACTATTTTAAAACTATTTTTGAATATTCCCCCTGCAGAGAGACAGGCCCGACTTAACCTTAGGAGGAAGGAGGAGGGAAAGAGGGAACGGAAAGGGGAAGGCCCGAGATGCTCCCACGGGGCCGACCCACAAATCCCACAGCGGGGTTGCCGCTGAAATGAAACGCGCCAACTCCGAAGGGTAAAATGCAACCAGAAATTTCTGCTCATTATCCTCCTGCTCCTCCTCCTCCTCCTCTTCCTCCTCCTCCTCTCGTTCCGTCTTCTCCTCCTCGCCCTCCCCCCGCCGCATCCGTTTATCTCTTCGGGGACGGGCAAGTGCGCGGGGGGGAGAACAAGCGGGAGAAAGCGGAGACGGAGGAGGAGTGGCCGAAAGAACGGAGACATAACGGGTCAAGGATGAAATTTCATCCCGGCCAATGTCTACCTAACTTTGTGTTCCCATCGTACTCAAGGACCACATCCCAGAAATAATTTCGAGCACTCAAAGAAGCATCGAAACAGTGTCGAACGAGTATCGCCTCCCACGGCCCGACACGTGAAAACCCTCGAGTTTCGGTACTTTCTTGGTGCTCGAAACTCTTTCTGGCAATCAACGCTAAACAAGGCTGGAACATCATGAACCTAACTGGCCCATCGCCCCCCCTTGACTTCCCTCGCCCACCGCGCGAAGGCGACGAGGGCGGGGCAAAGAGGGGAGAGCAGCACGAACCCAGCGTCCCATGCACTCGCTCGCCACCTTCACGACACCGG